AAAAAACAGTTTGAAAGGGGAGCATAAATAAAAAGAAAGAATACTAACTATAGGTCTCATAAGACAAGAATAAACAAGTTTAAATGATTTGTTATTGCTTGTGATCATATTCTAAAGATGTTTGGATTATTGAAAAGTATACAGCTCTCTTTCATCTGAGTGTTGAGAGCTGTATCCATAAATTCATTTTGTGCTCAAAGTGCAGCAGATTGATGCATTTAACTTCAACATTTAAAAAAAAAAAATCAAACAAACACACACACACACACACACACACACACACACACACACACACACACACACACACACACACACACACACACACACACACCCGTAGCCTGGCTGGGAGTTTGTGTGTGTGCTCACACACCGACTCACAGCCTCGCCACGTCCCGCCGTCTTAAGGCCCTGACACACCAGGCCGATTTCGGCTGTTTTCGTAAGTCGGGAGACGAAGCGTGTCCTGTCGCCCAAACTCAATTTGGTGTGTCCCGCACCGTCGACCGTGACACGCCTTATTTGGACTGCCTGTCCCGATGCATGGCCGATTCAACATGTTGAATCGGCCATGCATCGGGTCTGGCAGTCGGACCAAACAATCACTCTGATTGGCTGTTCAGCTAGCGAATCAGTGCATGAGAAGCGAAACGGAAGTGAGGGACGTAAACAAACGATTTAAGAAGGCACACACAGACTGATATTCATTTTCATCTCATCATGGCGATCTGGAATGACGCAAACGAAGACCTGCTCATCACCTTGATCCAGGAGAGGCCAGCTCTGTACGACATCACAGAGAAAAGGTACTCGAACCGAGTAGTGAAAACCGGACTCTGGCGAGAGATTGAAACGCAACTTGGTTCCTCGGGTAAGATTATCTTTTTCATCAATTGAGCTCTTTAGCAGATATTGTTGGCTTTTTATTGTTTGCCAGCGTACAGTGACGTTAACGTGAAATGTAATTTGTTATTTCAACCTTGTGTTTTGTTGTTATCTTGTTGCTAGCTGTGCAGTTTGGCACTGCATATAGATATGAATTGGACATGCTAACTAGCCACAATGCTTACATCGTTTATTTGTGTGCTTCAGAGAAAGAGCTGAGGAAGAAGTGAGATTCTCTGCGAACCCAGTACACCCGGTACAGGAGACTTGCCCCTTCGGGTAGTTGTGGAGCACCAAAGACGGGCAGACAGCAGTGGATCATAACCAGGCTGCAGTTTGCACACGCTATTTGTTGTTGTTTATATCACGCAGTCTGTTCTTCTTCTCTGTCTTCCGGTTGTTGCCTATTTTTAATGACGAATACACACTACCGCCGCCTGCTGGTAAGGAGAGTTATTGCCACTCACGCACTGAAGTCTTTGCGGTTCCCGTGCGACACATGGCCAAGACGCAGGAGAACACCGCGACGCAACAGTCGGCGTCGGCGAGTCCTCTGGTGACTGCTTGGTGTGTCAGGGCCTTCAGGGAGGAGAAATCGGCGGAGCTAGAGCTGAGAAAGGATAGAGAGGCGAAGTCAGAGCCGGCCCGACCTATTAAGCGACATAAGCGGCCGCTTAGGGCCCCGCAGCCACTAAGGGCCCCCTAGCAAAAAAAAAAAAAAAATCTCAGTGATAAGTATGTTTAATTAATTGTGTTAATATGCCTAGATTGCCTACTCTCAAAGTCATATATTATATTATTGAGTCAATAATATAATACATTAACCGTGCTTTACCTGAACCTCATCATGACACAAGAGAGGACGGTAGGATTGTAATTTCCCGTGTTCAGTGAATGCAACAGAGGCAAGACACCAGACCAACCAGAGAGTTGAATGGAAATAAACATCTGTCTTATTGGCTGACAGGTACCTATCCTGTGAGCTGTGACAATGTTTAAAATAAACTGTCAGTCGGACTCAGAGTTTTTGAAGATGGACATAAGAACATATTTTCTTAAAAAAAGACGACAATTCTCAATTGGTGGCTCACACAACAACCCCAGAGCCACCACTTGAGCCAGGTAAACAAGGTATGTAAATGTCAGTAAACTTCCAAGTTATGCGAACATGTAAGCAAAGCATAAATTACAGCTACGTTGACGTTACTTTGAATCACGGGGGTAAGCTAAACCGTTAGCAAGTAGCCAGATATATTAAATGAACACTTTGTCATACAATCTAAATGTAATGTTTTTTAGTGTTACCTGGTGATTTCAAAGGAATCTCTCTGGGAAATGTTGACTTACTGTTCGACATGAAGCTAGAAGCTACCTTACAGTACACAGTTGATCCGGAGTCCTGTCAGTAAGTGTTTCATAGTTAGCTTAGCTAAGCATCAACCTAGCACTGAAATATATGGATGTTATGTGACAGTATTTCTGAGAAAAAGTCAGCTGAAATGGTGGCATAGTTGCCACTGCTTTACGTGTCAACAGCATGTTTGAACGTATTTGCAGCAGTAAATGTGGCTGTTTGGCCACTGACGTTGCCATAACAACACCTACATTTAAATGTGCAACCTCTTTTTGTGACAGATTTTTGCAAGAAATTATAATTCTCCGGTATGATATTCTTATTGACAGCTAGTTTCTATGTGAACATTATGAGATGGACAGCCAGAGAGAATAAATGAAAAACAGTTATGAAATACTATATGACAAAACAAGAATATAGTTTAAGTGATTTGTAAAATATCCATAAAGAAAAATCTGCTTACAGTTCTGTTTCATATGGGTGTTGAGAGATGTATCCATAGATCTCTTAATTTTGTTCTCAAAGTGCACCAGATTGATGCTTTTAACTTCAATATTTTAAAAAAAATCTTCCTGGGGGAGCATGCCCCCAAACCCCCCTAGAGAAGGTGAGGACCCCCCTAGAGGAGGTTAGGTCCACGGTGTTTACATGCTTATTTATACAATATGTGTGCTTATGCTAACATCATAAGACAAAAGTTGGTTCCGTGTTGTGTGTAGTGAGAACACGCTAGAGTGAGGGGGGCCCCCAAGCCAAAGCTTGCTTAGGGCCCCCAAAAGTCTATAGGGCCGGCCCTGGGCGAAGTCCATGATGACATGGAAATTATTTTTTAAGTCATATTTGTCATATGACAAACATCATATGTGTAATTCGTGGCACAATTCAAACGGGATAGAAAGATGATCTTTCTCTCCCTATTGACTTCAATACATAATTTTTCCGAAAAATATGGTCCCATGGGTCGTAAGTAGACTTCGCCTCTCTATTGAGTGTGTGTCTGTGAGGAAGTCCGCGGATTGGTCAATTTGGACCAATCCACGGACTTAACGTAACGGCTCTGCGGACGTAACGTAACAGCTCCACGGATTGGTCCATTTGGACCATGGGTCACTGTACCCAGGAAGAAAAAGAGAAATCTCCAACGAGGCGTTCTGGGGCAGCATAGGTATTTTCTGTGTTAGAGTTGTACTCGCTACAGGGTGTACTTTGAGGGTTTGTGACTTTGCAGACCGTTTACATGCATAAAAACCTTCATAACACACAAGCAGAGGGAAATTACATAGTCTCTGTGGGGGAAATGTCTGTAGCAATTGGAAACAGGACTCAGAGAGACACGAGAAGAGCTTGAGCTTTGATGGCAAACACTGACGGTTTATTTGGAGCTTCGGCCGGAAAATTCACAAGACATGTCACGGGCCACGGTTTGACCACACGGTAGAGATGCCACAATCAATTCTGAAGAACCCTCCTGTAGTTCCAGGTTTTAACTAGTTCACAGTGTAATAATCAACATTCTTCAATAGATAGACTAAACAGCAAAAGGCAAACATGTATACAGAATTATTCCCTGACAGTCTCCTTTTCCAAAAGCCTAATACTTTTTTGTTGTTCAATAAGTGAGTAAAGAGAATTCAACTTCTAGTCAATTAGAGAAAATGCTGTGAATAGAAAAAAGTGCCATTTATAAGATTGATATTCAAGCGAGCGCCATCATCTGAATGATCATATAGTAACAAATCATATATTTAGCCTCAATGTATACCAACAAACAATTCACATTAGTCACTACATTTCTCTGTGTGTGGACATGTGCATGGTGCACACCTATTCAGCATTTGCAATAAAACCAATTGAATGGGCTTTCTGTCCAGTGCATAAAGGAATAAATAAATAAATAAAGCATAATGAAATACATATGCAATATAGCATTACAGTTAAAGACAAACGTAACATTAAATGTTTCCATGTCCTGAGATTAATCAAGCCATAACTAATTTTACCTCTGACTACAGGGAGCCATTCTCTCCCTTTAGTCAGTCTTTCCTATACTAGTGATCAGACAGATGCTGGACCTCACAGAGAACATCACACGCATGTTGGGAGTAAGGGTAATGGTTGCTATGGAAGAAAAAACATGTGAGGGAAAAAGAGACATGTAGTGTCACAGACGTGGTAAATATGGCATTGTAAATCTGTTATTGTTAAATGCAAATTGAGCAACATTAAGCACAACAATTTATAAAAATAAATGTTTACCACGCAGGACTTTGATGTGTAATTCTTGTAATTTTCTTGCAAAATTAAAGTGTGTTATTTTATAGACCTTTTATATGTGTTTATTATACAGCTTATGTGTACTATTTAAAATTGTTTGCACTTCTAATTTGTTTTTAATTTGTTCATGTTTCATTTTAGATTGTATTTTATGTAGGCCTATTATTATTATTATTATTATTAATTTGTATTTATTATTAATTATTATTAATTCTGTATTCTGTGTACCAATGCTTTGTTGTTCGCAAATGTTTTAAATATGTATTTCTCTATATACTCTAGTCTACACAGCCAACATATATTTCGTGTCACTTCATAATAATGCCACACGGTGGCGTCATCGACCCCCCTCTCTCTCTCTCTCTCTCTCTCTCCTCTCTCTCTCTCTCTCTCTCTCTCTCCTCTCTCTCTCTCTCTCTCTCTCTCTCTCTCTCTCTCTCTCTCTCTGGCTTGAGGCGGACTGTCGCCCAGTGTCACTCATCTGCCGCTCGTGCAGATCGGACTCTTGGGTACGCGGCAGTTTTTTTTCTTTTCCTCTCTCCTGTCGGAATAAGAGCCACCAGCACGCGCTAAGGGGTCTGTCGGAGTGACGGAGGCGAGGAGCCAGACACAGGTGAGCAGGTTACTTTACTTATTTAAAAAAAAAAAGTTTTTCCAAACAGAAGAAAGAAAGGAATTAGATTTCTATTTGTACATTGTTACACCGAACAAACCACCACTGTCCAATTGTATTAAGTGATGTTTAGAGACCATTCGAACAAACTCTATTTATTTGATCACTGTGTAGTCGTCAAACAAGTGTACTATTTATTGAATTTACTTTACTGCAAATACACGTGAAATCATCAACATCATAATTCTGATACATAATTGCAAGGCATTTATCTCAAAATGTACATTATTTAAATGCAAACAAACACGTCTTACTTTAACAAGTAAACCAACAATCTGTAAGAAGAAAAAAAAACATATTTTAATATAATTGTTGTATGAGTTTCTTTATATTACAAAATAAGAAATGTAAAGGTGTCAGGTGTTGTAAACAATATTCTAGAAATGTTATCCAAATTGATACAAATTTCTCTAAAAGCTAGCCTATACGTAATAATGCAAACTGTAATCAGTTAAGTAAAAGCTTAAGATCGAACTTTATTAATCAGTTTTTGAAATTCACAACCTGCCCTACAGCTTATATAGTAAAACAACAAAAAAACGTTGCATCAATAAGTATAATTTAACAAAATTTAAAAATTGAATTTTAAATGGGCTGTTGTGCATTATACTTTTAGAATAGTACACTTCTTAATGCAGGGCTTTCACTTTTATGAATATTTCTACACTGTGGTATTACGACTTTTACATAAGAACTTTGTCAACCTCTGAACTTTAGTTGAACTTCAAGTCTTATCACTTGTTTTATGAGAGGTGTGTTTATCTGAGAATATATATAGATGGGTAAACATACAGTAGTTGGGATACAAATGCGGAAAAAAGGCAGTGATGATGATGATAATAGACGGTCAAGTACATTTAAATGATATGGCCCAATATCAAAAATCCCAAATTGGTTTTAAGGGGCTGTTCAGCATACACATCATCTGTCCTTTGTACGTTGTTTGGGATTAAGAAAGGAGGAAGGAGGAATCATTCTTTCAGGATGGTCAAGAGGCAATAGTGTACAGAAAACCATGAAATACAGTTTAAACAATTGAAAATATCCAGGTCCTCAAGCTGTTTCCAAGTGTCGCCAAGAGACCTCCCCTCCCCCATGAAATCTAGAAATAAGAAAGGCTGCACAATCACACAAGAGGCAAAACTGAATCACAGATCATCATACTGTACACACAGAAAAAGTCACATTTTTCTAAGAATTCCGAAGAAGTCACATTTTTTTAACTTTTTGTCTGAAATTCCTGGAATTCTGGAAACAAAGTAAAAGTGTTGACGTTCTCTCAGAATGTATTCTTTTTCGACTTGTTTTCCGTATTTTGACTTGAAACGCAGGCTTTCAGAACAATATTCTCAATGTCAGGACAAACTAGGACTGCCACTACTAGGCTTAAATGATATTTTGTAATGTGATCAAATGTTCTAAATTAAAGACACATTAGGGTCTCTTGCATCAGCCATGGATAAAAAAAAGACCAGGGGTGTCTGCCCATTCATCGCTGGGTCTGTTGTCCTGCTGAGACATCTACAGATAAATCAGTTAGGTTTGTTTAACGTCAACGTCTCAAAAAATGTTTGCTGGCTGTCTGGACACATGAAAAGGTCTGCTGTTGTTCAATTATCCCGGGCAAACAGATTGCTGACATTTCAGCGCTGACGCACTGACAATTCTCCATCCTTGTTACTTTATTACGGTATCATTTATTAGGAACATGAACCACACACACTCACTCATTACTGTATCCTGACAGTTGCACAACACATGCCAACTACCTTTGCAAATACACTTCAGCGGGCACAGGCGGCTTCTGCTTCGGTATATTTGCATACTTTTCAGTTGATTACGCTTTTAATTCACTGCAAACATAGTGTTAACACAGTATGATAACTGCTACTGATACCATGTAGATTGTACTGTGTGCACTGTGCATGTGTGTATTTGCGTGCCATAGGAAGTGAAAGAGCATAATTAGAAGTGATAGCCAAATATAAAAGTAAGTAAAGGTATCGAAATCAGGAGGAAATGTGCAGGAACCTGACCAATTTGCTGAAAACAGACATTGCATTTGTCAGTCTTAGTCAGGTAAAGGTACACCTTGTTTTGAGTGCAGCTGCATTAAGTTATTCATTTGATAACCAAACGTCAAAGAATTTGGTTCTGCAGGATGTACTGTTTCAAAAACAAAGCTAGTGGTCTCATCGGATAACAATTCCTCAAGTTATTGTTGAATATCCCCTCTCGGGTAATAAAACACTATCATTGCTTTCCCTTGACATGTCTCCTATTCTCCGAAAATCTTGTCCAAACCAGCATTAGCTTGCCAACATCTTTTGGCCTGTCCACATGTCCAAAAGATATTTTACTGAGTCTATTGTAATCCTTCAAACACACAGCATTGGTCCTATTAAGCACTGAGAATAAGAACAAATAAATCCAACATTATGTAACCTCTGGCAACATCTGGAAATGTGACAATAAATTGTAAAGAAGGCCCTATTATGCTCGTTTTGGGTTCATATTTGTATTTACTATGACATATCTCCTTGCTTTAATGTTCAAAAGGTCTTTATTTTTCTCATACTGCCTGTGCTGCAGCACCTCTTTTCACCCTCTGTCTGAAACCAGAGCCCAGTCTGCTCTGATTGGTTAGCTGGCCGGCTCTGTTGTGATTGGTCAACCGCTTAGAGTAGTAAAGGAGTCAAATTGATGCATTTCAGGCAGGGGGGGGAGTGTGGGAGATAAACTCCCTCTGGAGGGAACTTTGGGTTTTATTCCATGCACCAGGATACTTGATATAACTTGTATATCAGATGTTGATTAAAATGGAGAATAATAAACACATATACCAATTTAAAGCCGAGACACTGTATCCAACACTGGTTGGCAGACATAAGCACACTGATAGTTTTGGCCACATCCCAGGTATGAGCATCTGTAAGTGAATCAGGCAGGTGAAACTAACTGGTGTTGAAAGGCAGGGAATGTACTCAAGTAACCTACCCTAGCAAAGAAAAGGTGAAACAGTTCATTCGTCAGAGATACTATTAGTCAGTGACTTCGGGGGATCAGTCTTTGCTCTGAGCAGAAACTGTTCCAGTCCCTGCTATCGCCTGTCCTTGTTAGCCCCTCCCTGTAGACATTTAGGAGAGAGACACTGCATTCAGGCTAATTTTAGGCAGTTTTTACCATCGGCAACTCATTAGCCTGATTCCCAGACCTAGAGAGCCGTATTCATTATCAAAGTCACCTCACCCAGGGCAACACACCTGTCTACTTTTACGTCTTTGTTATCAGAGATAAGTTATCGTATGCTATGCAGTAGTACATTCCACACATTGCTAACAACATTGATATGAGCACTTTGTTGTTGCGAGTAAAGTATGGAATACTATTTGTATTTGTTCTTTACATTGGGGCCAGTCAGCTATATTACTACAGTAGAGTGAAGGTATCAGGGCTCATTTAGGAAGCCATTTGCAAATGTTTTTCTTTATCCATAAGAAATAAACAACTGGTAACGCTTAACTGCGCCCACTGAGAAAGACACAACTATGTTCAGCTGTCTTTCTCCAGCGGTTTGACGCTTCCTTCCTCACATTGTCTGACTGGCTAAATTCCAGTTTACCAAATATGATCAGCTGTTGTTGTGGTCGGTAATTACATTTCAAGCTGGAAGTTCTTCAATTATTATTATTTATCATTTTATTTTTGCTACAAGTTGCTTAATGAAGGAAGCAGTTATTTATAGTGGAACAAGGACTATTCTTTCCTTTCTTTGCTCAGTACGTGACAATGAATAAGATTGTTTATGAGACTTAGATGATTTGATGTGACTCAGATGCGGATGGTTCCACAGAAGTCTCTTCGCAATCACCCCTTTTTAATTTCCAAGGCTTTAATTGGTAACAAGTTATGTGTTGAGAAGTATTTTCCTGAATATCTTGAAACTTTACGTTGGAAAGGTGGCCATACTAAGCGTTAAGTTAACCATTATATGCTGAGAATGAATTAACGAAGATGGACTGACAACATTTTCATCGGTTTTTGCTTTTATTATTCATACTGCTTGGCGGTAAATCTTGCAAGAAAGAAGCTTTAAAAAAAATGTTTCTACTTAAGTGGTTGGCACATAATTGCTTTCTTGGATGTCTTAAAGCAGGATTTCCCGGCAAAAGATATTGATGTGGACAGTGGTGCTATGAGAAAGTGGAAAACTGATCATTCCCAACTAAATCCATGGGGAGGCACAGATTGGGCGATGACCCCGGGTAGAGGCTTTATTTCCACAGCCTGCCTGTCTTTTGCATTTGTACACATGTCATTTTATGTGTGTGTGCGCTTCCGTGCGTTTGTTTGAGTGTTATTCACTTTATTACGCAGTCATTCTCCATTTACCCCCCTTCATCCAGTGAGCTGGCACCCTTATTGTGACGAGCCCGGCGCGCTCAATTACCTGCTCACAGCCCATTACCCTCACCCACACAACTTTATTCAGAGCACACGCTCCATCCGCTCAAAGTTGCATCTTGCTCCAGCCATGTGTGCAGCAGGCTGGTGTGGGATTTAGTGCATCCGTGTGAGCGCATGGAAAAGTCAGTGGCACTTTAAAACGAGGACAAATGAAGCATTCAGTAATTGCAGGTGACATTTTCGATTTGAGATTTTGTTGGATATTTTGTTCAACTTTGTTTGTTTGCCTCACAGTGGGTGTGCAGAGGATTTTCTGGATGTAAAATGTTGTTGACTTGAAGCTTTTATTGTTGTTTGGATGCCCTTTGGCCGTTTCCATGACAGCACATACTCTTCCTCAGATCCAAATCAATTAAATACAGTATGCAATGAAAGAGACATGCCAATATAGATTGTACATGATATATAACATTTAACGTATATCAAAATAAGGAATAATTTGGCTTCAATTTGAGTTTTTGGTGTTCAGTAAC